ATAAAACTTCAGGCTCATGAGAAAAAATATCTACATGTAGATTTATTTTCTTATCAAATCTAAAATTAAATACTCAAAATTTGCATTTGGCAACTCTCAAATAAAAATCTAACAATTTATTTTATGACATGAAATAAAATTATGCCATCATTCTTCCGTAACATAAGCAATGTGAAGAATTATACGGGAATTTACAGATGAATTAGTTTTTAACTTATAAATATGTTATTAAAAGAGTAAATTTAAAAATAAATAAATAAACAGTTGAAAATACTGGTAATTGTGATTTATTTCTTTTTTATTTTGCTTTTGTTTACCAGCTGGCCGATAATGTGTATGAATAAAATGGTATAAACACCTGCGGTTTCAATCACCTTTGGGCAGAAAATCAATCATGCATGTTATTTGGGTACGCGTACCAGTGTTACACATCATTGAACATGCTGCTCAATTAACAATGACCCTAATTTCAATCTATGTAAAAAATGTAATGCAAAAAAAAAAAAAAGATAAATGAAATGTGTATAAATTTCTTTCAAGATTAATTAATGTTGAACATAATCTTAGGATTTTATACTGGTCACTCATACAATTTACAAATAAAACAATAATTTTTAAATTAACATGTCAGTAAAGAATAATCAATACTTAAAAATATTACTTGGCAAAATTAGCAACGAATTTTTCAAAAGCCCTAGTACTTTAAAAAAAATGCCTTTAGAGTATCCCGATAGTAATGAAATCGGCCATGATCTATTATGATTAGATCTATTTAAAACTAATTCTGGTGAAATATATTAACTTAATTCAATTTTAATTTTCTGTATAGAAAATAAATATAGGAGCCTGTATCAATCACAAAAAAACCCCAAGATAATTGTGATTAAATATTCATGTTCAGTGTAATTCATTTATGTAGGTGTGTAAGCTTTCTTCCTTCAATAAATATTATTTCAAATTGATTCAAATCTATGCGGGTACTGCTCCTACATGTAAACGACCTTCGCATTGTAAGGATACCTGGCATACTGCTCAACAAAAATTAAGCTGCCTTTTATAGTTCCATTGTTTATTGGAAATCTCATTTCTGAGTTAGCCCCGCCCATTTAATTAATAAACCCCGCCCACTGGGACTGCTTTCTGGGACTGCTGGGACTGCTTTCTGGGGCCGCTCTGGGACTGCTGTGGGACTGCTCTGGGACCGCTGCGGGACTGCTTTAGCAGTCCCAGAAAGCAGTCCCCGGGACTGCTCTGGGACTGCTTTGTGTCAGGTTGGGTCTGGTCGGTACTGTACTAATAGTATTAAATGGGAATAATGTCTAATTAAACTGAGTATTCAATGCTTAGATTTCTGTTATGTATTCAATTATATTGAATTTGTTCCTATTACAGATTGAATACCTTAGAAACTTTTCCTATATAGTCCTACGTAACGCCAACCCATCCCCAGGGAAGGGTCAGGTTTCAAACAAATTAGAATCTAAGCAACCTGAGGATGCTTCCATAAACATGTAAATATGACCAACCATGGCTTTCATGTTCATGAGATTTTTCCTGTACAATCCGATGTAAAAATTTGATCGCCCAATGTAGCCCCACCCTACCCCGGGGGGTCATGATTTGTGCATACTTGAATCTACATCAGGGATGGTTTTTATACTTCAAAAGTAATCGATTAAATTACAATTACTTTGGATTTTAAAAGTTATCAATACCAAGCTGATTACAGACATTTTTTAAAGTTATCAAGTACATGTACATCTGATTACTTTTCCTTCAAGTTATCGTTACTACTTATGATTACTTTATATTACATAAAGTTTTATTCATTAATTTTATTTTGTTTGATGTTCAAGGAAAATGGAATGTTTTTATTCTTTTTTTTTTTTAAATATCATGAATATATTTTTGAAACAAAGTTTGGTAGTACATGTCTTTATATAAATGCATGAGATGTATCTTAGATCTTTTGTTTTCTATCTTTAATACAGTCAAGTAAATATATTTGTTATTGTTAAAAAAAAAAGAATTTCTAAATCAAGCTGGTCATACTCATAGTTACGCATAAAGGGATTCAAAAGAGAACTTTGACACCAGTAATTAACCTTCTTGATGAGTGATGAACATTTTAATTAAGCTGCCAATTATTAGATGTTTTTACTAGAATTAGCAGATTGACTTAATAAGCATGTAAAGTTAAAAAATTGTTATTACCCAAGCTGACACAACTTAAGTATACCGGTGTTGTATTACTAATTAATTCAAATATCGTTTTATGTCACTGAAAATCAAACAAATAGTAGTTTTTGGAAAACACATCTCAATAAAGGAACATATTTGATATGAAAAAAAATTACACGTTTATTCAAAATCATCTTAATAGGGAAAAACAAATGTTGCATTACACACACATTATGTAGTGTCCCGGAATTATTCTTTCCGGATTTGTTGGTTTTTACCTTACTTTCGGTGCGTCGATTTACCCAAAAGGACCCAAAAGGACCCAAAAGAACCCAAAAGGACCCAAAAGGAACCCAAAAGGACCCAAAAGGAAATTAAGAACAACCCAAAAGGACTTGAAATAAAGATAATAAATGGATATATAATAAACATTTTCATATTTTATTAAATCTAAAACTAGTTTTTGAGGGTAAAGTGTGTGTTTGGGGTGGGGGTGGGAGGTTCCCCACCACCCCACCCCCCACCCCCCATCCATCCCCGATACCATATGCTTAGAGCATGTTATAAAATAAAACTTTTTTCATTTATTAAATATCATATAGTAAGATATGGTAAAACAGGAGAAGTAGATTAATACTTTGTTAATTTCACCTTAAAGAAATCAAAGCATACCTGACCAGATTTAGTTTTTGATGTGCTATAAAAGTTAATGTTATTGTTACAGTTGCAACAATATAAGTATGTTTTTGCCAACTTTTATGTAAATGTAAAATATAATATTCATGTAATTTACTTCAAATTATTAATTTTCAATGTATTATGATATATTAATTAAAGTCCTTTTGGGTCCTTTTGGGTTCCTTTTGGGTCCTTTTGGGTTCCTTTTGGGTCCTTTTGGGTCCTTTTGGGTTCCTTTTGGGTCCTTTTGGGTAAATCGACGCACCCCCTTACTTTTATTGTAAGTTTGTTTTGAATTAATTCATTAGGGTGATTTTTTGTAAAATCAGGAGGGGAGTGTAGTGTCCCGGAATTATTCTTTCCGGATTTGTTGGTTTTTACCTTACTTTTATTGTATACCGGAAACGATCTAAGGCATCAGTGCCAACCTCGTGGGTTCCAGAACCCAGCTTATTTTACTGCATTTAAAGTCACCTATGAAGTAAGTTTTGTGATTTTTCATTTACTATTATGTGTAGGCAATGCATAATATTCATTTTCTAGTCATGTGTAATTTTTTAACTGTCATATTGAGTCAAGGCGCACTTGGCGCGTTTTTTACCTGTCTTTGTTTTAATCGTTAAACTTGATTGCAACAATTGATTGATTATTCCATTATTAATACATCTTTAAACATGCTAGGGATAAACTATGTTGATGTCTGTTTATTATCTTATGGAAATAATTTCGTTAGAACAGCTCCTCCTTGAAATCTGTTAAAAATTCAAAACTATGGAAACCCGCTCTAGTCATATTTTTATTATGTATGTTTTATATCAACATATTGCTTACATTTTTGTATTGTTTGTTTGTAGTTTTTCACCCTCTCCGGGGGTTTGGATGCAATAAACTCATTCAACATTGCACAGTGAAAAATTCATAGCCGAGCTAGTGATTGATTGAATGGAGAAATCAACGACAAACATCAGCCAGATAAGTCCACCTACAGCCATGTCCTCAGGGAGAAGGTCTTCCTCCATAGCTTCAGAGCTAGCCAGACACCGGGCCAAATTAGAAGCGGCAAAAGTGGGGGAAAAATATCTGCAACAAGAATTTGAGATGGAGAAACGAAAAGCCGTACTTGACCATGACCTTAAAATTCTACAGTGCAAGAGAGAGATGGAGGAGGCACAGATTGAAATGAACAGTCTAGATTATTTAGATGAAGTATCAGATGAGAATTTTACAGATAAAGAATACCAAAACCTTCAGCAGGTTGCTCAAGAGCGAGTCGAGGAGTTCGTACAACAGCAGTCGGAGCTGAAGACTGGATTAGAGAAAAAGGAACAAAGTGTCGTACCAAACAACATTACACTGTCTCCTATGACGCCAGCATTTGTTCCAAAACAAGACTCAAGCAATGGACATATTAATGAAGTGTCTATGTTCCTTGCGAAGAAAGATTTATTGTGGTGCCGACTCACAAAATTTGACGACCGCCCAGAATACTTCACAGGATGGAAAACAAGTTTTAAAAACATTGTGAGTGAACTGAACTTAACATCCATTCCTTGGAAGAATTAGAACTATTGAATAAGTGGTTGGGACCAGAATCAGCGAGATATGCACAAAGCATAAGGACCGCCAGTGTGAATCCTGATGTTGCTTTAGCCCGACTATGGGAACGCTTGGAGGACAGGTATGGTAGACCTGAGATGATCGAAGCCGCACTGAAAAACAAACTTTCAGCCTTCCCGAAACTCAGTATTAAAGACAACAAACGGTTATACGACCTCGTAGACATTGTGTCAGAAATAGAAGCAGCAAAGGAAATTCCACACCTCTCTTCGCTTTTCGCATACTTTGACTCATCAAGTGGAGTGAACCCCATTGTGTCAAGACTCCCTTACCAAATCCAAGAGAAGTGGACCAGGCATGCAAACAGCTTCAAGGAAAATCACTACATGACTTTTCCACCCTTCCATGTTTTCTGCAAATTTCTCCGTGACAAAGCACAAATGAAAAATGACCCATCCTTTTACTATGACAATGTAATCGAGAACGCCAAAGTTGTTCAGGATGGAAATCGATGAAAACCACTGTACCCTACAGGTACTTCATCTGTCGCCACAAGGAAAACTGACACGAATGCTTCGAGGCCCATGGACAAGACAGAGTACACACAACTGTGCCCCTTACATGAGACTGGCCATTCATTGAACTCTTGTCGTGCCTTCCAGAAGAAAACCGTTCAAGAGAGAAGAGAATTCCTTAGATCAAAGGGAATTTGTTTTAAATGCTGTGAAGAGAAACATCTAGCCAAAGACTGTCAGAAAACAATCAAGTGTAATATCTGCAAGGAGCCAGGACATGCCACTGCCCTGCATGTTGGGAGACGCGCAAGTGACACTGAAACCGACAGCCAGGTGAAGACTGTATGTACACAAATTTGCGGAAACGTACATAAAACTAGCAAATCCTGTGCTAAGACTCTCTTGGTCAACATACGCCACGGAAATAACCCAGACAAGGTGCTACGAACGTATGCGATAATTGACGAACAGAGCAATCGGTCTTTAGCAAACAGTGATTTCTTCAACTTCTTTGGTGTGGATGGTCCAGACATCCAATACGAACTTACCTCATGTTCCGGGCAGTCTACTCAAACTGGACGGAGATCGGCAGGATTCGTTATCTCATCTTTGGATGGAAAATCTAGTCTTCGTCTTCCACCATTGATGGAATGCAACTATATCCCAAATAACCGGGACGAGATTCCAACACCAGAGGTCGCGAGATCTTACAGACACATGAGAGACATAGAAGAGGAAATACCCCCTTTAGATCAGGACGCAGAGATAACATTGCTGGTTGGCAGAGATTTGCTGCCTGCCCACCACATTCTGGACCAAAGACTGGGAGACTCCGACTCCCCATTTGCTCAAAGACTGCACCTAGGGTGGGTAGTGATCGGTGAGGTATGCTACGGGGCTTCACATTCTCAGGAATCTTTGTCAGTGTGTAAGACATATACTAGGACAAATGGGCGTATGTCTCTCATGGAAACTTGCAAAAATTCATTTCAACTTAAGAAAGCCGACATATTCGCTAAGACGAAGCATGACGACTCACCTGGCCTCTCCATAGAGGATAAGAAGTTCAACGATATCATGGAGCAAGGTTTTGAAAGAGATTCTGAAGGATGTTGGTCAGCACCGCTTCCGTTTAGAGAGAACAGACAGCTCCTTCCGAGCAATAGAAATCATGCACTTCACAGAGCAAACCTACTTACTAGAGGACTTCAGAAGGATCCTGACAAAAAACGGCATGTCATGGAATTCATGAGCAAACTCCTTGATAATGGTCACGCTGAGATTGCGCCACCACTTTCTTCCCCAGAGGAGGAACATTGGTACTTGCCTCTTTTTGCAGTTTATCATCCCAAGAAAGGAAGCGTCAGATGCGTGTTTGATTCATCTGCACAGATTCAAGGACTCAGTCTCAACAGTGTTCTCTTGACCGGACCAGACTTGGTAAACAGCCTTCTTGGAATCTTGTTAAGGTTTCGACAGTTCCAGGTAGCAGTGACAGCAGACGTAGAACAGATGTTTTACCGCTTCTCAGTTCCAGCATGTCACCGAAACTTTTTACGATTCTTTTGGCACAAAGACGATGTAGAGAAAGAACTTACAGAGTACAGAATGAAGAGACATGTCTTTGGGAATAGTGCGTCCCCAGCAGTAGCTACTTTGGGACTTCGCAGAACTGTAAGAAATGCCGATGAGGATGTCAGACAATTTGTGTGTAAAAACTTTTACGTTGATGACAGCCTCATATCCGTAGATACAGTTGAAGAAGCAGTCAACATAGTCGCGAAAACGCAGAAAATTCTTATGGAGGAAGGGAATATCAGGTTGCATAAATTGGCTTCCAATGATCCGAAGGTATGCGCGGCATTTCCAAACAATGACTTAGCCAAAGAACTCAAGGATCTGAACCTAGATTTAGATGAAACACCCCTTCAACGGACCCTTGGTGTGAGCTGGAATTTGTCTACAGACATGTTTACATTTCAAGTCTCGCGTACTCTTCACCCTTATACAAAAAGGGGAGTACTTGCAACTATTAATAGCCTTTACGACCCTATTGGATTCCTCGCACCTGTTATAGTGAAAGGTAAAAAGATATTACGCGACTTGATGGCCGAGAAATTAGACTGGGATGACCCACTCCCTGAGGACCAGTACTCTCTATGGTGTGAGTGGCGAGAGTCATTGCCAGCGTTAGAGGACATAACAATACCAAGGGCTTACGCTTACATCAATAGTGCAGAGGTCTTGCGAAGAGAACTACACATATTTGCCGATGCGTCACAAAAGGCAATTGGTGCAGTGGCCTACATGAAGACTTACCAGACAGACGGCACCCCTCATGTAGGATTTGTCCAGGCAAAGGCAAAGGTGGCACCCGTACATGGACACACGATTCCACGTCTGGAATTGTGTGCAGCTGTGTTGGCATCTCAACTGAAAAGCACAATTTTGAACAACCTAGATGTTGAAATAGCCGCCACAACCTTGTATTCAGATAGCAAGGTCGTACTTGGATACATCAACAACGAACGCAGACGATTCTACATATATGTGGGAAATAGAGTAGAAAGAATACGTCAGGCGACATCTTCGCATGAGTGGGAATATTGTCCTACAGATCAAAACCCGGCCGACATTGCCACCAGGTCAATCAAACCCTGCGACCTTCAAGAGAGCAGATGGTTATGTGGACCCCATTTCCTTAGGAACATGAAAGAGGAAAAGTGTAATCCCAGTGAACCAGGAAATCCCACTGACAGATTCCCATTGGTGGATGTGGAACAAGATAAAGAAGTGAGGCCCATTGTGAAGACCTTGCATACCACATGCAAGGATGAAGTATACCACTCCTGGTGCGAGAGATTTAAGAATTTCTCCTCTTGGATCGGACTAGTCAGAGCTATTGCGCGACTGCAGCACCTTGCTCACTCCTTTAACAAGTCTAGTAGCTGTGTGGGATGGCACCATTGTTCAGTCCCGAAGAGTGCTGAAGCATACAAAAGAGCTGAAGAATTCATTATGAAGGCAGTTCAGAGAGAATACTTTCCGGAGGAAGTTGAGAGCCTTATGGAGGGGAGAGAAATTAAGAAAGGAAACGCTATCTTGGGATTGTCACCGTTTTTAGACTCCAGAGGACTTCTACGAGTTGGAGGAAGGTTGAGGTGTGGAACCAAATCACTTCGTCAGATTGAAACTTGTCCTATATTGATACCGAAAGGAAGTCATTTAGCCACATTGTTAGCTCTATATTGTCATGAACAGGTCTTTCATCAAGGTCGACGCCTCACAGGAGGGAAACTTCACAGCATGGGATTCTGGATTGTGGGAGCAAAGAGGTTAATCAACAGTCTTCTGGGGAAATGTGTCATCTGCAAAAGATTGCGTGGTACATTCTGCTCTCCTAAAATGGCCGAACTTCCTGAAGACCGTTTAAGTCCTGGACCCCCCTTTACCTACGTCGGAGTAGATGTATTCGTCCTTGGAGCATAACCGCACGCAAAACCAGAGGAAGTCATGTAACGCAGAAAAGATGGGCTGTACTTTTCACGTGTATAACCAGCGGGGCTGTCCACATTGAAATCTCAGAGGAACTCAGCACGTCAAGCTTTATCAACGCAATGAGGCGCTTTATCGCCATTCGAGGACCAGTAAAGATCTTCAGATCAGATCGTGGCACCAACTTTGTCGGTGGAGTCAAAGAGTTGGGCATGAAGAACATTGTGACAGAAGACACCTCCATCAAGAACTTCCTAGCAGAAAATGGCTGCGTTTGGGTCTTCAACCCACCACATGCCTCCCATTTCGGAGGCGTGTGGGAGCGAATGATCGGAATGGCGCGGAGGATCCTGGACGGTATCCTGCTCAGCAAAAAGCACATTAAAGATCTCACTCATGAGGTGCTTGTAACTCTCATGGCCGAAATCAGTGCGGTCATCAATTCGAGACCAATTGCGGCAATATCCACAGATCCTGATGACTCCATATTAGCACCAGCCAGCCTTTTGACCCAAAAGATCGGAACACCACCAGATGACATTCCTCAGTTTGGGATCAAAGATATATACAAGTCACAGTGGCAGAGGGTCCAGGTGATGGCAGACGAGTTCTGGAAAAAGTGGCAGAAAGAGTACCTGACGGGACTTCAGACCAGGAGAAAGTGGGCGACGGACCAACCTAACTTAAAGACAGGTGACATTGTTTTGTTACGAGAGTACGATTCTGGACGCAACTCATGGCCGACTGCCATGGTCAAACAGACGTTCCCGGGAGCTGATGGAAGAGTGCGAGAAGTGGAGATCCGTTTGTTCAGAGGAGAAAAAGAGTTCACTTACGTCCGTCCCGTTCACGAACTTGTGCTGTTGATTACTGACTGAATTAACACTTTTATATACGCAAACTGCTCTTGTGTGTTTCATTGTTTGTGTTTTGATGAATAAGAATAATTGTTTTCTCATCACCCTTTATGTAAAGTCTTATTAATTGTCAGTTTGTTTTGAATTAATTCATTAGGGTGATTTTTTGTAAAATCAGGAGGGGAGTGTAGTGTCCCGGAATTATTCTTTCCGGATTTGTTGGTTTTTACCTTACTTTTATTGTATACCGGAAACGATCTAAGGCATCAGTGCCAACCTCGTGGGTTCCAGAACCCAGCTTATTTTACTGCATTTTAAGCCACCTATGGAGTAAGTTTTGTGATTTTTCATTTACTATTATGTGTAGGCAATGCATAATATTCATTTTCTAGTCGTGTAATTTTTTAACTGTCATATTGAGTCAAGGCGCACTTGGCGCGTTTTTTACCTGTCTTTGTTTTAATCGTTAAACTTGATTGCAACAATTGATTGATTATTCCATTATTAATACATCTTTAAACATGCTAGGGATAAACTATGTTGATGTCTGTCTGTTATCTTATGGAAATAATTTCGTTAGAACAGCTCCTCCTTGAAATCTGTTAAAAATTCAAAACTATGGAAACCCGCTCTAGTCATATTTTTATTATGTATGTTTTATATCAACATATTGCTTACATTTTTGTATTGTTTGTTTGTAGTTTTTCACCCTCTCCGGGGGTTTGGATGCAATAAACTCATTCAACATTGCACAAATTAATTGAAACAAAAACAAAAAAAAAATTAAAATTATCCTGTATTTTCTTTCAGTATATACATATATCTTGTCAAAAATGGCAAATTGCTAAGATGCTAAAGTAGTTTAAAATGACTACTGAATATACCTATGACCCGATAGAGTTTACTCATTGTACAATGGAACTGATTATGAGCATTTCTTGAAGCATTAGAAAAAGATACCTATTAAATATACATGTAGCTTATAATTTTATAATACATTTTGCTTATAAACAAATCTGTACACTGAAAAATATTCACTGAATATCATCAAAAATCATGATTTTATAAACTTTATTTATTAAAATAATTGTTATCATAAAGGCATTTAAATACTCACAAATGCGTATGGTTTAAAAGATGGTAAGATACATGTAACTTATGCATCGTTACCGAGGACAAAAATATTTCTAAACTAAAAATAGTTTTACTTGCATTTCGAAGAATTATCATTGTCTTCATTTTGCTAGAAATCAAGTAATGATTTTGACATTGCATGGCAACATATTTTAACATCATAGTTACAATATGTACATTGGATATGACATTACTTCAGAAACTCGAGATTTCTTGAACGCTCCGCCCAATGTTGATTTTTATTTGTTAAAAATGTAAAAAAAAAAATATTCATGAGGGAATAGTCCCAGGGAATAGCCATGATTTTCAGGGAGCAGTCCTCAGAATAGAAAAATAGGAAATATTATGGTATTAAATCTATATATTAGAGTAAATACAGTAAAGGTAAAATAATACGGCATAACGGTGCTGGGAATATCAATGTTTTATTTATAGTATTTTTATTTCGTCATTATTATTCAGTTCAATCATATGAATAATAGTCCTGCATGTTATTATTCATTCCTGGGAAATTCTTCTTCAATAGCCACGAACTCTGCATCTCCTTGTAAAGGCTTATACAGCTTCATCCAGATGAATTGGCCATTACCAATATCAATCTATGAATTGAATATAATTACTGAATTTGTGATGAAAATGAATCTTTTATTTTTATGCTCGATATTTAATTTAAGATTATTTTAATTTGTGCATACATTAATTATGTTGGCGAAATGATAATTATATGTATATATCTTTATAAATACGAGGGTTGTTCCAAAAAATCGTACACAGGGGAAACAGTTTGGTTTCTCTTTGCTAAATTAAATTTCTTAATGAAATGTTAAAAGAAAATTATTGAAAAATGAAGGAAGCATATAAGTGTACATCTGCACACGAAATCAAGCGCAATTTACGTTACTTATAACGTCATGATTTTTTTTCTGCATCACACGCGTCTATTAATTTTTTTAACCACTCTTGACTAATAAGGGTCTTATTTAAATTCACTACTATCCGTTTTTTTAAAAACAGATTAAAAATTTCAGTCAAAATTTAGTGGAAATGTCATATTACATATTATATAACATATGCAACAGAGAATGCACATTAATTTATGTCGTTCGTGGCCTAGATTGTTCCCTATTATCTGTGTTTAACAAACAGCACTCTACCTTTTGCTTATTTCCGGTTTAGAGGAAACTCTTATTGAACCTCATGCTATTTAAAAATAATGTCTCCATTAAAATCTAATTGTGTAATGTCACTTCTATACTCTTTTTTCCGTCTCTGATGTATATAAACCATATTCAAAACAATTTATTACATCTACATGCGCCAGTTACACTTTTGACGTCAATTTCATTAAACTGAATTACAACAACACTTTGAAAATCATGGCACCAATCGTCAGTTTCTAATGCTATTCATAGGAAATTTTCACATATTAAGTTTCTTATTCTGGTTTTACTGATTTAAATTTGAGTTCAATGTTTAACTTAGTACTAGAGAAATGAAAGCAGATATAATAGTTATATGCGTAATTATTCCGAACTTTGGTCGAGCGCCGACAGACTCTATCGACCTCCTTATAAATCGTCCTAATATTATTAATATGAAAGATATTTATTTAAGAATTGCAATTTTAAAGAACATTGACCATATAATGTCTATGCAATTTTTGGTAAGTATTGGTGGCATTGTTAAAAAATTTTAAACATTGTCTACGACTTTTTGGGACAACCCTCGTGTATATATTAACTCACTTTCACTGAATAATTTGTCCCATTGACAACTTGTGTTTCATAGCTGACAGCGTTGAACGTTTCAAAAGTCGTGTTCTTTTCCTGTTCAGCTCTTTCTTTGAACTTCAATAGAAAAAAGAAGAAATTGTACTTGAAAAAGACATTAATTGTAATCTAACAACCAAGCTCTATGATAAATGTGATGACTTTAACTTTTCTATCGTCAATCCCCTTACTTATGCAGCAATATACCTTCAGCAATACATCTTCATCACCTGCATACGAAATATATATATATATCTCAATTGATTCACTAAGCAAAAACATGCTTTACGTATTTCTAAAACGAGCAAAATTATTGATAAAAAAGTTGAAGAAGGAGGGATGGGGCCATTTACTTTAAAAAGAAATAAACTAAATTACAAGTACTTTGACTTTTTCTTCAATTAAATTACAGTTAAATTACAGGATTTCAAAGACATGTAATTAATTAAATTACAAATTACATTTTTATATTTTTTGAAAATTTTAATAATTCTTGTCAATGAATAAACAGATCAGGGATTGTTCATTTGTATATAAGCGCAGTCTCTGCACAAATAATACAAGAAATAATATGCTATAGGCATATTACAAATTAATTACAGAACATTAAAGAACTTTTCAGGATTAGTTTGAAGTAGTTTCCTCCACAACAAAATCCTATAGGAACACAAATTGCATGTGATATTTGATTAAAAGAGGGCGTTTTAATAAAGTAAAATAAATAACAACTGTAACCCTTCAAAATAATTATTTCCTTGAAGTTACGTGAACATTTTTACTTCATAAATGATATTTGCACAGAACTTTTTCATACAAAATTCATTCATAAAACTCTATTTAGAAATAATTATCAAATTGAAAGATTCTCTTTTCTCAAACTATCGGACCATTTTTAATTGAAATAATTATCTTCATGCATTAACCTTGTCTTCTAAAACATGGAATGAATGCCTCTTTAGAGGAGATGATTTGTTGTGATTGCTGTGAATTGGAGGGCAATTATCTCTTACCAACAAAAGAGAACATAATTAATGACATACACATTTCTTTTCTTTCTTTTCTTGACACACACATTCTTATTCTTCTTCATTGATCTAACATCAAAGATTGAAATGTCCTAAATGTATGTTTCATAGCTGAATAGACCTAAGAAGGATGGTGCAAAATTCAAATAAACATATAAACAAAAATTTCAAATTTTATATAATGATTAGTAAGAAACTATAATTGGTGG